AGTGAGGAAAGGGTTCTGAGAGCCTTGGAAGTGATATTCGTGATCACCGCGAAATTCTCTATCGAATGGTGTATGAAGTGTCGAAAAATAAATTTCACTGCAAGGCTGCCCTGGGTGCATCTTAACTATAAAAAAATCATTTTGTGTGTGTAGATAATTAAATTGGAATAAATAAATAGGTTAATGAGCATGCGCTCATATCTTTACAAAGATATGAAATTGTTACGATATTAAAATTGAAATGTCAAACTCTAGATTTAACCTGACTAATGCTCGTCACAGAATAGAAGGTAAAAAAGGGGATGTATCTCTTTTGATTGGAAAAAGTTTTTCTAAAATCTTCGTTCATTTGTTGAAAGATGGATAAAACTAACAACTTTTTTCTACAATAAAGCAACTGTTATTATTTTTAGACAGAAGATATTACTTGTTGCTTTTGGTTCATTGAAACTCTTGTTCATCATTGATGGTGGCTGTTGGTGCCTTCTTTGTTGCGATTGCTGATCGGAAAGTGGGGCTGGTCGTATTGGTTGAAATATTGAAGAGAAAGATGGGGTTTGCGATGTTTGTTCAATTTCACCGGTCATTGTTAGCGAAGATTTTTGTGGAAAGGAAAATAATGGTTGCGGTCGAACTAACGATTGATCGGACGGATGTATGAACAACGACGTATTGTCTTGAAGGTACTGTGGTTGAAGATTTTGTTGCCGTTGAAAAGAGTCATTATTCATCGCCACCGAACTCGATCGACGACGAATTAGTTTAGGATTACTTTCATCCAAGGAGAAGAACGGATAGAAGGGCACATTATCTAAAACAAATAAAATGATTAGCAAAAAAAGAGCTTTTCTCTCACAAATTATACCTTGTAAGGATTCTGTCAGTTCAGTATTTGATGAAATCGATCTTGTTTGATCTTGGATATGTCGAAGAAGCATTGGATCATAATTTGAATCTTTAACACGATCATCTGTTAATTTTGAATTTATAGTTGAGTTTTCAATAGATTCATCCTCATCTATCGTCGTATGATGGTCATTAACAACTGCATGATATATTCGTTGATTTAATATATCTTTCATAGTACATTCTTTATTTTTTGTTTGATCATTATTCATCTTTTTAGATACATAATTGAGTAAACTGTTGAGTCGAGAAATCAAGAAATGACTTTTTTCATTCAAATTAATATTTCTCAAAGATTTTCGTTTTATTAATGGATTATCTAAACATAGAATAGTAAGTCATTCTTTTTCGGGTTTTATCTAAACTCTTCTGCTAACAATTACCTATGACTACTTGTCGAGTTTTTTGTGGTGGCGGCTGATACACAGTATTTAGTAACGTTCGAATATCTAAATATACTCAATTACTAGAGACAGTCAGTTTTAGAAAGAAAATTTTGATATTTTACCTTGATTTGTAGTTTTACGCACAAATGGTTTTCTTCGTTGTGGTTGTTGTTGTTGTTCATGAGTAATATTTACTTGCGGCTGTTGAAATGACGGGTTTAATTTAGACTGTTTACGATGAATTGACTGATATGTAGCAGGAGATAAAGAACGATACGGTACTGAAGAAAGTGAAAAATTAGTTGAAAAACGTAAATTTTCAGAAATCGGAGCAACGAGTGTGGAAGAAGGAAAATTTAGTGGTTCAGGTGGATGAGGGCAAGAACATAATAAATTTTGATTTGTTAGATCATGACTTTTAAGTGGAGTAGGAACAGATTGACGTACAAGATGTTGACGATTAGATGTTTGTGTTTGAAACGTTGGTGGTGCAAGTATTTGTGGTGGATAAAGAGTCGTCTGCACATGTTCAACTAGAAAACACAAAGAAATTATAGACTTCAACCTCTAAAAGTGTAACACATCTTACTAGTATCACCACTACTCCGAGCTCTACCAAATTTTTTATGTTCACGCTGTAATCGTTTAATAAATCGACCAGCATGTGAACCTTTTGGTGCAGCGATCGTTTTATGTTTGGCTACTGGATAACGACGATTTTGTATAATATGCATTTGTTGTCTACTGTCATTGAATACAGGCGGTGTTGTTGTTCGAGTAAATGCATTTTCTATTTGAATGGATGATTGACAACTTTTTTGCGTTTGTTCTTTGCTGTCTTTCGATGCTGATTTATGCTGTTCGTCAAGGTATCGAGAAAATAAAGGATCTCGAAGTTTCGTATTTACAATGAACGAATCTGACATGAATTATCTTAAAAAAGGACAAGAAACAGTGGAAGGTAACACACAAATATGTAAAATATAAAATTATGATAAAGATAGTCAATCAAAAAATATTTGCCGCAACAAAATTGAAGCTGTCTGACGAATGACTAAAAGAGACCGATGCGGACTTTAATTATTTTGACGAGACTATCGTAATTACCTCTGATAGACAGAAATTTCTAAAAGTAAAAAAAGTAACACTGTGCGGTTTTAGTATTTTAATTTAACACCCAGGTGAAACATGTCGTGTAAGACCTTGCATGTTTTCTTGCGAAATCTTGTAATAAGATCCTACAATATGATCTTCCAAGATCTTGTTATAAGATTATACAAGATCTTATGGAATCTTGTAACTTCTTGTCATAAGATCTTCTAAGATCTGGTTATAAGAAGCGACAAGGTGTTGTAAGAACTTATGACAAGAGTTCATATGATCTTGAAAGATCTTACAAAATCTTGTGCCAGACATTGTTGACTTCTGTATATTTTCTTGCCACAACATTATATAGATCTCATAAGACCGATGACTCCTCTCTACCGCATAAATTACGACGATATACAGTATATATGTAACATTCTTCATTTTCTTTGAAAAACTTTTTTTCGCTTTTCAACTTCACACGTCAGCTGAGCACGTATGAACTGCATAGTTAAGTAACGTGGCAAAAGACGGTCCTATAGTCTGTGATCATTAGAAATTATATTAGGAAAAGAAAATGCAGAGGTATAGGGGGATTTGACAAAAAATGATCAAGCGTATGATCTTGTAAGATCAGATAAATTCTTATAAGATACTATAAAATCTTGTGACTTCCTCTAAGGTGATGTAATTTCTTACAGCTTCTTTTTATAAGATCATATAAGATTTTGTACATTTCTGTGATAAGAAAAATCTTGTGAAATCTTATACGAAACTTGCTGCAAGATGTCATATGAAATTTTGTAAGATCTTATTGAAATAGTAATACATCTCACTAGAGACCTGCAACCCGACCCTACCCTAGGGTCGGGTCGGGTTCGGGTTAAGATATTGTCGGATCGGGTCGGGTTCGGGTTAAGATATTGTCGGATCGGGTCGGGTTTGGGCTGAATATTTGGCGACGCAATTTAAAATATAAATAATATTTTTAGCTTTGCTATTACTGGTTGAAAGTTATCTCTACTGGAATTTCCAGTTGAAAGACTTGTTTCAGAACAATTGCATTCACTAAGTCGATTAATGATTGCTTTCTTTGCACATAAGAGAGTGCTTCCTCCACTGAAATCAATGGCAATACATCCCTTACTGCTTTTTTTCAATGTACTGTTTTAAACACCCGTACATAGAAGACTTTACTATAATGCTCTCTACTTGCTATCTTAGTATTATGTGATACTGACTGACCAATGAGAAAAAGGATGTGGTCATCATCGATAATCTATTGACAAAGTGTACCGAGGAATTTTTAATAGATTAACCTTTTAGACAAAATGACCAATCAGACGTCGTTCGAAAATTTTTTTTTGAACTACGAGATTCTACAATATGCACCGAAAAACTTCTGTCTAACAACGCAAGTCTATATTCTTTCTCAAACACAGTTTTCTGGTGAGATTGTTTTCATCGGGTCGGGTTCAGGTTCAGATGTTATCGGGTCGGGTCGGGTTCGGGTTAAGTTGTTGTCGGGTCGGATCGGGTGCGGATCGGCATTTTGACAGTCGGATAAACGTTGCCTTTTATTATTCAAACTCTTTATTAATTAATAAAATAAATATTTTTATATAATAGAAACTCCATCCACAGCAAACTTGGGCGAAAATCAAAAATGTAGGTCGAAAATCTTCTCTGACACTTGATATGAAATTAGCATGGAAAACTGTCTATATTATGTAATTTGGGCGAATATTGATTGAGTTATAACGTATTTATTTGATTATGACGAGGCGGATCTAATAGGAAAAGCCCCAATTTCGAATGAGCATATCTCGAGAACAGGAGATTATGTATTCGGCTCTTAGCTGATTCGTATACATTGACCGTTGTAGAGTTCGAATAAGTTGATCAGGGCGGTTAAAAATGTATAAGCAGAATACAGAATGTGACGGGGGACTACCAAAACAGATAAAACGCCGAAATTCTTCTCAAAGATGGCTCTCAGCAGGCTTACAGGAACGATGCGGAAAACTAAAAGCTACATTTCTAGATAGAACTAATGACAAGGAATCTGATGCACATGTTAGTTTTGATTTCGATTTGATGGTGAAAAATGTATTTCAATACAACGGATTTTCATGATTTTCATGATTTTCACCATCTTAGAACAAGTACAGTACAGCAATGAAGCATTCTGAAATTGTTTTAAATGAGCTAATTTATTCCTTGTTGTCTCTAATCTATATCATAAAACTATCAAGTTAATTGCTTTAATCATTTTTGAGAAGATTGAGTCTGAACTGACCCTTGGAGCCTTGAAAACCGCCAAATGTTAGATCACTTCTGGACCGATACCGAGGTTTTTTAATTTTTTTAAATCATATATGCTTACTCAGAATTCAATGCTTTTTCAAATGCGATATGTTTCAAGCTTTGCGGCGGACTTTCATGTAATGGTGGGACGGACAGTTATCAGTTTAATCCTTATTTCTGTTTGCTCATCACGAAGGTATTCTGTGGTCTTTGACCATTGGTCAATCATTAGTGAACATGTAAATAATGTTATCTTAGAAAATGGTTTACTAAGTGAGAATTTGGATAAAATGAGGTTTAATTTTGCTGCCTGAACGTATCTCCATACCATTCCATGGCGCGCGCGACACTTGGTTGCAACGACATTTGGACGTATGTACGACACAAGCATTTGGTAAGAGTGTATCTGTTAAAAGTATAATACATAACCATAAAATTTTCTTTTAAACAAACTTGGTACGGTGTGAGAGAGCGTTCTATATTATTTTACAACAACTCATATCCGACCGCAACCACTGTTTGTTTGATCTTCGTCTATACTCACCCAGACCCTCGCCTTTGAAGCCCAACTGTCGTTGCGCCCAAATATCGGTGCCCTGGTGTCGTGCGCCCTAGTATACCTATTTTTTCAGAATTTTTGTACTTCATAGGATTTCTCTTCTCCTTTTCCATCTTCAGATTTTACAATAAAACAGTCAATACATATTTTGTAGAGAATTGAACGCGCTATATTTTGGTAAAAAATTCAAATCGTACCGATTCCACAATATAGAGTAATTTTATTGGTCTTCAAAATGAAAAAAACTTCAATCCAAAAGGATCAAGTTTGACTAGACTACACTTGTTTTATCCAATGATGCAAATTCCTGGTCAAAAATCATTTTTTTAGAAAATTTTTAAGAAATGATCGTTACGCTGCTCATGCCCTCAGTTCTAACTGTAAAAGGTTTTTAATCATAGATGGAAGATAGAGCTTTCCAAGGCCTACGCGCTAGCTGCTTCAGCTTTCTTCACTTCAACTTACAAGGCAGTTATTTAATTAATTTTTTCGATTACCAGATGTTTCGGCGCGTGACATTAGGACGCTGACATTTGAATGTCGACACCTGGGCGCGCGACACCAGGGCGCAACGACATTAGGACGCAATGACACTAGGGCACATGTACGACACAAGCATTCAGTAAGAGTGCATTTGTTAAAAGTATGATGCATAACGATAAAATTTTCTTTTAAACAAATTTGATACGGTGTGAGAGCTCGTTCTATATTATTTCACAACTCATATCCAACTGTAACCACTGTTTGTTTAATCTTCATCGATACTCACTCTCACCCTCGGTTTTGAAGCCCAGATGTCGTGTAATACATAGTACACCTAAATGTTGTTCGTGCCCTACTGTCGTTGCGACCAAGTGTCGGTGCCCAAATGTTGGCACCCTATAGTATGTGTACCCAGTATAAGCCATGTCTGCACAAAATTTTCAATTTTATTATTTAAATGCTGGAAAGATTGTTTAGTTTTTAATTTTACGTAGTTCAACATTCGTTTTGAATAATCAACAAACAGCAACGTACAAAAAAAGAAAAACAGCCGAACAAATAAATTCTATAAATGTTGCTTAGAAAAAGAAAGAAAACATAATCGAGAAGCAAAGAACGAGGATAGATAAGATCGATTTTTATCTCCAACGGGATTGATAGCTTTTGGTGCAGATGTCTGATTTTGGACAAAGAGTTTCGAGTCATGAGATCTCACTCATGCGAAAGTTTTTCTACTCATTTAAAAAGTCATGCTTATTCGAAGATAATGTACTCAACTCAAGATTTTATAAAAATGTTATTTTGAATTTTTTCCCTGACACTCATAAACCAAAAGAAGTGAAAATTGTAACGAGAAAACGCATAGCGTTTTGTTTTTTTTCTAAATTTTTAAAAGTTAAATTTATTTTAAAAATTCTGATTCGAAGACAAACATCTTTCACACATTGAAATCGTTACGACAAAATTACTCTCAACATTGAGCTAATTATCCGCTAATTTCGGAGGAAATAAAAATTTTCATGCGTGTTGTTTGACATATTCAAATTGTCTTTTATGTTTTATATGTAAATAAATTATTACTAGATATTTCTGATGGAGTCTAATCTCTGAGACAGATTCATTGCCACTTTAGTATTCAATGGGTGGTATCGAAAAAGAAATTCGAAACAAACAAAACATTTTTATAAAGTCTTGAAAAGATAGTTGACTACATTATCTCAGAACTTTTTCAGTATAACTTTTCAAATGAGTAAAAAAATTTCCGCATGAGTAAGATCTCATGAATTCGAAATTCTTTATTCAAAATCAGATATCTGTACCAAAAACTTTCAATCCCATTGGAGATGAAAATCGATCTTATCTATCTTCATCCTTTTGCCGTAACTTTGAAAGATTAAGCGAGAAAACGTTCACGATCATACACTTAGAACAATCAAAAAAAAAAGCGAATCATATTACCGTCAAGTTATTTTTTCTGAAAATAAAATAAAAAATAACAAATATCTCATGAAAAGTATGATGGTACAAAAACCAATATACTAGGAAATAATGACAAAATATGACTCCATATATTAGAAATCATTCTCCAATAAGGGTAATAACCCAAAACATTGGACTGAAGAATCTCATTAAGATAATATTACTACTACTGAGCAGTATGACTTTGTAGGTGTATTTGAGGTAGTTTATAATTGATGAATGACGATAGTTGAATTAACAACACAGTTGAAAAAGTATAGAAATAACATGAAAAAGATGTGTAGTACCAAAAAAATAAAATAGCACACGTGTGATTAATCACAATAAACATAAATTAGATATTGAAAAAAGAAAATAGAAAAAAAAAGAATTACGTTAAGCGCTCGTCTGTTAGATAGACAGCAACTCGGTATGTCTTATCACCAATTTTCTTGTGTATAAGTTTTGTTTTTGATTCAGAATTTTCGTGAGATAATTAAATAGGAAGAAAGAAAAAATGTAAACACTGATGAACAAGAGGAAAATTGAAAAAATATTAAAAAAAGAAAAGCCAAAAGACAGCAGAACGTGCATCATGTATTACATTATCATTATTTACAAAATGGAAAGATACATAGCAGCAATAACAAACAAAATGAATAATACAAAGAGAAAACATAATGACCGGTATAAAATCATAATGTGTCTATATTATGTGAAAAATATCAATTAAAAAATAATATTTTGGAGGTAAACACTTGTTTACCTAATGGAAGCCGCTAGATAAAAAAGAAACGTCTAATTGAGAAAAGTAATATATTAATCCGGAAATAGAGACCACAAGATCAACAACCGTAAAATATATATACAAAATAGAAAATAGTTCGCAACTTTCAAGTGAGAAAAGAAATGTTTAACAAAGAACAATAATACTTTATAAGACATATTCAAAACAAATAATACTCTGATGTAAACTTATTTGGGACGGGCAGGCAATGTTGATGATTTTTGTTTGGATGACTGACCAGACTGATTAAATAGATTTGAAGCTGAGGAACTGATACTTGCATTAGGTGAACGAAATGATGTTGAACTTGTCCTTAAAAAAAATAAATTAAAATATTGTATAGGATAAAATTTTCAAAATATTTGTACAGTAGTCGCAACAAGCACAACAAAAATAAAAGCAACGTAGAAGCAGATAAGGCGTCATGAACAATGGGTAAATCAATATAATTGTCAAAAATATATAATTTAACAGTTATATGAATAAAGTACAGGAACGAGAACAGAGGGATCTAATATGAAGGGTATAATATACTACTGCTAAATCTTCCTATCATGAGCTGTTAGTTTATTGCACAATTATATCTGACGAGATCCTATTGTTGTATGGCATCGTTACTATACCGTTGTTCGGTCAAATTTTAGCGGACACTGACTCCACTTACAATCACAGAATATACATGAACAAAAACATTCAGATTTGTAGGTAACTTCTCAGTTTTTTGTAAACAAAAGACAGTAAATCAGTGATACCTGAGGCGATGAGAACCGTAGATAACTGCAGGAAAGAAAAAGTACTCTCTAATATCTGAGAATATCTATCTTTTCTCCTTGTTGAATTGTCTTTTAGACCATTGAAAGACAAAAAAATATTAATTTTCTTACTGCTGCAAACAGAAAAAATTGACAGTTCCTTTTTTTTAAAAACCGAACATTCGGTACGTAGCCGACGGTTATGATTGTATTTTTCTCATAGAATTGATAATATAAAAAGGTAATAAAACTATAACTCTATTCGTACAAGTATCAAACCTTAAATTTGCTATCGTGTTCATTTTTTCAATAAAATTCATTTTCTTGAAGATAAAAAAATAGAAAAAATAAAGTTGATAATAACATTACAGTCAAATTAATGAACATTTTTTTTCTTTAGATTTAATCGTCAAATAGTCTTGCAAAAATATTTTCTAGAGAGATGAAGAAGCAGTTAAATCAAATAAAAATTGTCAAAATAAGCGAACAAAATGAAATTTTAGCAGCTCATTTTTCATCTTTGTAGCTGCAGCAAAAGTTCAGCAATTAACACATGCTAATTGACAGTAACATTTGACATAAAGGGATTCGAACATTCAAACATCATCGTTTTCACTGAGCAAACGCTCATTGATTCACGATGTTTTTTCAAATTGAACAGCAAGAAGAAAAGAAATTTTCTGCTATAGATTTGAATCATCTTATACACGCTTAAATTATTTTTATTATCAAACGTCACGCACACAATAGAAACTCAAAACCGGTATGTGTAAATCACATTGGAATCACTAAAAATGACATAATCAACTAAATATTTTTTTTTAAATACAAGAGAAAACTCTTATTTTAGTTTATTCTTAAAGCATTATTTTCAAATTACCGACTATCTATTTTATTTTTAAACGAGTGTCGCTTGCATGTAGGGTAATTCCCACCGTCTCCTCCTAAACATAGTCTCTTTTTCTCTTTCGTCTACATATGCACATAGAAATTAATTGAGAAAAAAAACATAAACGATAAAATACCTTGAAGAACCTGATTGATCATGTGAAGAGATTCCACGACGAGGTATTTTTCTACTTAATTTTGTTATCCATAATTTTTGTTCACCTTCAGTTGAACACATAACTAAAAGTTCTTTTACGGATAATTTGTCATTCACTAGAATAAATAAATTTTTTTAATATTTTTGAATTAAAATAAAAAGAGAAGATAATTGTATTACCTCGACAAGGTTGAATAAATTCTTCTTTATCATCATAATGTTGTTTATGACAACGAACGTGACATCTTGTACATTCTAGACAAGGTGGTGGACTAATTAAATGATAACATGGACGATTACATGTTTCACAGTTCGTCGGCATACGATAGGCAACAACAACAAAATTATGTCCTTTATATTCAATATTTTCACCACTTCCACCGCGAATCTGATCCTGTTTGAAAATAAAAAGATAAAAGAATTTAATATATATTTAACAAAAAAGATAAAACGAACTTGTGCCGGTGCATTCAAGCTTGATGTAGTCATCGAATTAACAACTGTCTGTCCTTCACTATCATAAAGTACTTGAAATATCTTTGGAATAAGAGTTGCATCAACGCGAATAACATCACCTGAAAAAAATATACATAAAAATTTTCTTCTATTACTAAAGTGAACAGTCAATAGGATATGCCTCAGAAAGGGTGAAATTCAAAGGACATTTTACATAGGTAAACCGTATAAAACTCCGGCTATATGCACAAACTTTTACGAATTCTCTAATCAACGAAAAAAAGTCATTTGTTTTCGATTAATGCTTATTAAAGTAAGTGAGTATTGTTGATTAAAGAGTTCGTAAAAGTTTGTACATATAAAATTTTATTCGATCTATCTATCTGAAATATCTTGAAGTTTATATTTGAATTTTGTCTTTTCTTAGATAATTCGTGAATATGAAGTAGTAATTACCTTGTGTAACAGCGCGTACATGATACAATTTTCTAAAAACATATTTGAAAAATATACATAATAATAATCTTTGTATCACTGAGAAATATCAGTACTCACTCCATATCAATTGAAAGTGCAGCTTGTTGATCTCTTTCGGAATTATACAATAACAATTTATTTTTGGCAATAACAGCAAATTGGCGTTTCCAACCTCCACGACGAATATTTCTTGTTGGTATTTGTACCCAACTTTCCAATCGATCTAAAGTGAATAGACGAATGCTATGTAAACTACTGACAAGGGTGAGATGCTGTCTTAGATACGAACCTTTTGTTTCATCTTCTAATTCTTCACTTGTCAATGACACATTATCAATACTTCCACGTAATTCTAATTGTTTTCTTAATTTTTCAACATCATCACGTCTTAACTCTAATTCACGTTTCAATTTTGTTATATCATCATTCAATTGAGATATTTCTTCTTCTTTTTCATTTTGTAATTTTTTATATTTGTAACGTTCCTACAAATTTGAAAACAAAAAAATATATAACTTCTATTTTTAAAATAAAACAACACTTACTGCTTGCATTTCTTGTTCAAGACGCCTAGCATGATTTCGCTCATTGTGATCACGATCTTGTCGACGACCAGCTTTCGGATTTGATAAAAATGGATTTTTCTGCAGGGGATTCGTGACAATTTCTTGTAATTTTTTTACAGCCTAAAACAAAGTAACATTCGATTTTACAAAGTAAGTCAGAAGAACAGAAAAAAACGAAAAGTTATTGTTAACAAAAAATCTATCATAGTAAAACTCAGCCTAGCAAAGTACGCCGAATGCATAATTTTCTCTTATTAAATAAAACAAATTAAAATAACGGGAATCTCTATATTGTATTCTGAAAGTTGAAATTTCATAAATAAAAAGAAAGATGCACAGTAAAATGAACGGAAATATTTCTGATACCATTGTGCAATAAAAAATATGGATTGTATTACAAAATTTTGTATCTGTTCTGCTCTTAGTATCAACTATGAGAACAAAACGATGTTTTCAAAACATATGCTGATAGATAAAAGCTAAGTATACACCTACAGCTTCCGTTTTTGTCTTTTCATCTTGAACTTTTTTCTTCCATTCTGTTACTTGATGTTCTAAATCGTGCATTTCTACAAGAAAAAAAAACAAACATTAAAAAGTTTAGTTGATTAAGACTAAAATATGAACATACGATCAAGAGCATTTTTAAACTTTGAATTTAGATTGTCTCGATCTTTAATGCATTGATCTAGTTCATGTTGTCCTTTATTGTACATGTCACGAAACTAAAATAACTAGATATCATTAGAAAACATACAAAAACATCAAATAATTTACCGTATTAATTTCTGAATCAAGTACACCTAATCTGGCGTTGAAATCTTTATGAAGTGCTTCCACTTCAATAATCATGATATTTTTCTCTTTTTCAAATTCAGCACATTGTTCTTGAAGTAAGTTTAGATTTAAACTTTCAGTTTTCAACTTAACATTTGTTAATTCGAGTTGTTTTAATAAATTATCTCTAGAAATAAGAAATTATCGCATATGAATAAAATAATTCTATTTCTTCTTCCGTGTAACATATAAAAATTTGCTTACCTCTCTTCTTCAATATGTTTCTTTTCATGATAAATATGATTATATTTATCGTTTATTTCATTGATTTCATCTTTTAATTCGTTCATTTGCGTACGATATAATACGGCAAATTTACTTTCGACTAAAATAAGTAAGAATTAGTTCTATGCCTCTTTAACATTAGTAGATATATCTACCTTCAAATTGTTCTTCGTAATCAAGTAGTTTATTTTTCATCAGGTCATATTCATCACACGTTCGTTTTTGTTCCGCTAATAACCATTCATTTTCTTTTCTCATTTGTATTATTTCGGACTGATATTGTTTCTCCTTATTACCAGATAATTGTAAATTTTGTTGCATTTGTTTCAAGTCTTTATCATATTGTTGTCGTCGTTGTTGATCGGTTTGATTTTGGTCATACAATTGATCGTATGAGTTTTTTGATATTTGATAATCATTTGTTAATTGAGTATAATTTTGAAATATTTGTTTATAATCAATTTCTAACATACGTAAATTTTTCTGAGTTTGAATTAAATCTTCGGTTATATTCTTGACAGATAAACGTTCAAATTCTAATTTCTTTTCGAGTTCTACAGAAAATAAAGGATTAGTTAAAATATATCTTAATTAACATCTGAATGTATTTACCTTTAATTGTTTCATGACTACCGTCATCAGTATGTGTTACAGCACGTTTTAATTTTTCTACAATTAACTGTTCTTGAAGTTTTTTATGAGCTGTTTCTTCTTGGACTAGTTTAGTTCTCATTGTCTCCATTTCAAATTGTAAATTAAATTTTTCCTTTAAATAAAAATGACGTCAAGTTTAATGAGTAATATGACAACAAACATATACAATAAACAAATACATACTCGTTCAACTATAGCTGTTGTTTGTCGAAGTTCATCTATTTGTGTCATATGTGATGAATCTTTTTCTTTATATTTTCCAATTTCAATTGTCATTGTATTACATTTTTCTAAAACAATAAATTTAAAAATTTCTTTCAACTCATTTCTATTTAGTATTATACTAACCTTCGAGCTCATGTATCTTATCAAGTACCATATATTTTGCATTTTTTTCTTGCTCAATTATAGTTTGTTGAGCTATGGTATCTTTTTCAAGTTTTAATTTAATTGCAATTAATTCTTGATATTTATCATGTAGATCCGTTTGTGTACGTTCAATTTGTGAATAACTTTTTTGTAAGTCTTGATTTTGTTTTTTCAAACGAATACCGATATCAATTTCCGTTCGTAATTTTTCATTAGATTCGTTTAGCTTTAAAAAAACAATAATACAATTTCATTACAGTACAAAACGTCTTCATTCATTATTCTAGTCTTTTATTCCGAAAGAAACACGTTTCTCTAACGAGGGAAGGTCCCCAAGTGTTACTCTCATTTTTCAATGGGACATATCCTAATCTGTAGAGCTCTACGAGCTGATTACGATGGCATGAAGCATTTTCCTCCATGGCTCTTGAAAACCCGGTTTTCACTTTGCAGTTGGTCACTTTGCAGTTCACTTTTGCGGTTGTTCAACTTTGCAAAGAAAGGTCGTGTAGAGCTGGAACATGTCTCATTTTAATCAGAAATGTGCGCGCTACAATGATGCCTCGTTAAGAAAGGTTTTAGTTATCTTTTAGAGTTACTGAAAAACTGGTTCTCCAGAAAACCGGGTTTTCAGGAGTCATGGAAGAAAATGCTTTATGCCATTGTAATCAGCTCGTCGAGCTCTACAAATTAGGTTATGTCCTATTGAAAAACGAGTGTGGCGCTTGGGGACCTCCCCTGGTAAGAAGCCAAAACTTATCTTATCAAGCATATATAAACATCTATTAGACAAGCAGATTAATTAAAACTAGAAGAAATTGTTTGTTCATGTTTACCTGTCTCTCTAGATTCGTGATTCTTTCCGTCCATTCACGATTTGTATTCACCATTTGATTTTTTCCATAACGTTCATTTTCAAGTAAACGTTGTAATTCATCTAACCTAATTTCGAATGAGCGACGATTTTCAATTTCCATTTCATATTTTCGTTGAGCCTAAAAACGTTTGCGAAAATTAAACGATTTTTATTTTAAATGATAGTTACACACTCACTTCTTTATTTTCTGTTTGAAGTACAACATTTTTTCTTTCCAATTCATATATCTTTGTGTTTAGTACTTTTTCATCTTGACATTTAGCATTCATATCATCATGCACACGTCTAAAAGAGCATAACATTAAAACAAATGTCCCATTATACTGAGTATTCTTAAATTTTCATTATTACCTTAGTCTAGTCTCTAGTTCAATTCTGATACGTTCGCTTTCCTGAAGCTTCTGTTCAAATTCTGCACTATTGTAATCAAGCTGAAACAACCAAATAGACTTTATGTCTTTCATAGAATATTTAATAAAACTTACTTTTGTATTTCGTCTCTCTATGAATGGCCTTAAGTAGAAAAAATTAATGTGTTATATGCACTGAAAAAATGACTCTATCTTACTGTTGGTCATTTGAGAATGAAAAGCCAACAAATGGCAACTGATTTCCAGCAAAAATTTTAGAAACAGAAAATGATTCTTCGGTGGGTGCATCATTTTTATCTATTTCATCAAAATTACTCGTATCTTCTTCATTCGTCAACGGAGGTACAATTGGAACAGAAGCTGGAAGAAGTATAACATATTATATTTATGGAAAACAAATTCTCCGTTTTACCTGTTTTTATTGTTTCCCATGTCCATTCGGCTTCAGTAAAAAACATATGTGCTTTTATTTCCGCAACACCATTTTTCCCCAAACGAGTTGATCTTTAAAAAAATAGGTCTCTATCTGTATCTATTCAGATAAATATTTGACAAATTTTACCTGTCCGTTAGAAACGCACAAATAAGACTTTTTGCTTCACCTGATAGGTCAGCTTCTTCGGGAAATAATAGATTTTCACGATGATTCATTATTTTATGATATGTGCCAACTAAAGACTCGGCATAAAATGGTGTTTCACCTAAAAACCATTCAAGATCTTTAAAAGTAGAAAAGTGATGAGAGACGCTGATCTTTACTTACCAACAAGCATTTCATATAAAAATACTCCAACAGACCACCAATCGACCTCGCGACCATACACCCCCGTTGTACTCTGCGATTTTAATATTTCTGGAGAAATATAATCTACATATGAAAAACAATTACATGTCTACAGTTAATATTTAAATCAAGGCAGTTTGTAGTTTCTGGAGACACGTGGTGAATACATACCAGGTGTTCCAACAGCAGTATCGGATCTTACCAATCCATCCTTTTAAAGAAAAAAAATGAATAAGTTCTTTAGAATATGTCTAACTATCTTTTTATCTTACTTTATCCATTTTAACACATGTACCAAAATCAGCCAATTTTAAATGTCCACGACAGTCAAGTAACATATTGTCTGGTTTAACATCTCTAAAATAAACAATAAAAGGCCTCATACTGGTTTCTCCGATTAATTTTCATCGAAGTACCTGTGAATATAGCCTAATGAATGTATAGCGTCAAGTGCCAATACAACTTCGGCACAATAAAATCTTGCTGAATTTTCATTAATATCATGTCGTGTTAACAACGTAATGAGATCTCCACCAGGCATAAAATCCATAATCATATAAAGATTCTTAGCATCTTGAAATGCAAAATACAACCGTACGATCCAATCACTGTTTGAAAACGCCATTATGTTTCGTTCTTCCCAGAAAAAGGCACTATCTGAACGCTTAAGCTAAAAAAACAAACATACAAGAAAACAGTTAGTTATACTCACTATTTTTTGTGTGAGAAAAAGAACAAAATGAGAGCAAAAAAACGTTCAACTATTCAACAAACAAAATGAATCAGATAAAAGAGATGAAAAATTTCTTTATTTGTCGATTAGATTTACTAAACCAAAGATAAGTAAGAAGATAAATAAAGTACATACCATTTCGAATTTACTCAATGTTTTCATTGCATAAACTTGTCCAGATGTTTTTTTCCGCACCTTTAAAACAGAACACAAAAGTTTATGCATTCAGCAGATAGAATTCGCTGTTATTTTTCAACTTACAAGATGCACTTCTCCAAAGGCTCCTCGTCCAATAACTTTGAGCATAGAAAAATCATCTAAATTCACTCGTTTCTCTTTTATATCTGATGCACATGCTTTATCTAAAATTATACTATGCAATATTATAATAAGCAATTACAAAACGAGTTACGACACTTACACTTTGTATAAAAACTTTCAAAATTTTTTGTCTTCTTTAATCCTTCTGAATCATAGATTAATGCTGTTATGGAATCCTAATTAAAGAAGAATAGGTAAGATTTCAAAGTTTCAATAACTACATTTAAAACATACAAATAAACTGTCAACAGAAATATTCGATCTTGGATCGGCAACTCTATCTTCAAGATATCGGGTACGTTGTTGATCATTCGGTGTTCCCGTGTAAGCCATCATGACCATGTTCTCCTTTTATCGTATAAAAATTAGAAATAGATTATACATGTCCAATAATCTCTTTAATATAAACGTCTCATTTTACATTCGATAGATTCCTCAGTCATCTAAATGCAGAAGAAATCAATAAATTAGACGATGACGTTGTATCCGTGATTACCAAATTGATATAAGTTGTTAAAATTGAATTTATTTTTATTAGTATACGAAGAGTTAAAAATTTAAAGGATTATCAACATCTGAAAAGGAAAAAAGTACGCTTCCTGATAAATGGTTCCAAAAAACGAGAAATTCTTATCACAGAATGTTGTTCATACGGGAATAATCTTTTGCAGTGGCGCGAGATTCAGTTCTAAAACTAGAAATTGTTTTGCTGACAAAAAATGTGTCTCTCCGTTCAACATCTGCAAGGGTGATGTTAACATCTCATAAGTTTTATCGCCCACGATCTTTCATTTCATTTATTTAACAGAAGCCATTTCACTACACAGAGGTCAGATGCAAATAGCGTATGAAAATGCCTGATGCTTGTTTCGAGGTATTAAAAAATAAATATATATCCAATAGATTGACAACTCTGAAACGAAAAAATGACATAATCACTAATGGCTTCTTTTTTCCTTGAGATGCAGAGCAGAAAAATCAAACGCGCGAAAATCCCTTAATTAATCATCTTTCATCGTTCAGTTACACAATAAAATTTTACCAAAAAAGACTCGTTTCCTTTTCCTTGAGGAGAAATAATCTTCACTTTCTATAAAAATAATTATACGTTCTTCGTACTAAATAGCCGTAAAAATTATGAGAGAGCGGCAGCAATACGTACGGCGATGCATACATTCCTAAACGTTAAGGACTTTCCAATTCTCAGAGTAAATGAAGAAAAGATTCTTGACATACTGATTATTATTAGTATCGTGCTTGATAATGACCTTCGCATAGAACACTTTAAAAAAGACAAATAAAATTCTGTTAACTGAGTAAATAAATAGATTCTTTAAAACAATGAACGAAACCATAGATCAAGTGGCCTTGATAGTTTTATTAATCAATGATCAAATAAACAAATAAAAATAGAAAAAAAAACCAAATAAATAATATTTATATGCTTAATGTGAGTAAACGATACGCAGTAGATCCAAATGAATGGAAGATGAATCGGGCGAATGAAGGTAAAGAACAAAGTCACTATATGTGTCGGTTTTAAAAAAGATATAAATCAAAAATTTATGCATACTTCAACAGCATATAGAGAGAGATATTACGCTCTAGTGTTTCTGCGAATGACTTTAAGACTTTAAAACAGTGCCATCTATAGTTGATTACAGCACGTTTTTCATAATTACTTTTCCGATGCATATCATTAGATTTCAATATCCGTTCTGAGCGATATTGATACTAAAGCTCTTATTAGAAAGAAAATCTGTATTTTGTATTATGCACTAGAAATCTTAGTTATATTATCACCGGAAAAAAAATAAAGTTCGTTTTGAGTTGCTGAAAAGTAGTTTTTCGTATTCAGCACACTCGATAACCAAGAAGATTTTCTATTTTCTGGTACTTCCAAAAGTTTAGGAAAAATTTTGAAACTAATATTATTTTCCCATGGAAATTGTTTTGCGCCATTTTGGTTCAATATTTTTCTTAAACTTTCGGAAGTACCTCTAGCTAAAAATAGAAAATCTTTTGGGTTATCGAGTGTGGTGAATACGAAAAATATGGGGGGGGGGGGGGGGGGTGGGGGGGGTGTTAAAAAAAATTTTTGGGGGTTTTTTAGACATTTTTGGGTTTGCGC